ATATTACGTCAATGCACCAAACAAATCATTCACACCTCAGTGGTAAATAGATATCATATCAACAGTCTCTTGTGCCTGTGTTTATTGGACATGCTGGAGTCAAACATTCCTGTCATCAAGTCTAATGCAGCGTCAGTCAATAGGGACAAACAATGACCAACATTTGGCTTTTATGAAAGATGAATTAGTTTTGCCAGTAATCTGTATGAATAATAGGAAACAAAGGCATATTCGTAAATGCATATGCACTTGGGACGGGAGTTATCACCACTGTGCCCCAAACAAACTGCCAGGATAGGAGAATTCAAATGAATGTACCCGGTAATGAAAGGCTTTTCTTTTCGAACAGTGAAATGTATTTCTGCAGTGTACTGTTTGATATGAAAGAGCATCCAATGTTAGTTTGGAAAACAGGATAAATTATAGCTCATATGGCTCACATCCTTTTATTCAAATCAGTCCAAAAAAACAGGATATAAGTTACAATTAAGTTTCAGGCTTAGATTTGACATAACCCTGATATAACACACAAAAAAGTTAAAATCCAGATTAAACATAATCCAATAAAGTTGGAATCATGATTAAATATGCAAATGAGGTTTCCTAGCAGGAACTACTTTCAAACTGTTATCAATGTGATGCCTTCTTTCTCAATAAACTATCGACTAACATTCCCAATATGCTTACATAGGAGTTTCCCAATGTTTTGTTGTAAGATGGCAACAAACATGGCTTCAAATCATTCGGCACTATATCATAAATTTGGTGGTTAACTCAGAACTTGTGGTCATAGGTGCTTTCTAAGGACACAGACACAATGTGATAAAGAGATTATTTACCCTTTTTTTGTTACATAAATGTTCTATATGTATTAGGAAGAAAAATATGGTTTATGCTCACCAAAGGCTTGTAAAATACAAAATTAAGCTAATACTCTCTATGTATTTAATGAACACGGAACTGAAAGGGTAGAGCACAAAAAATAAGGAAGTATAATACAGTGAATATAGCACTGACTCATTCATACTCAGAAAACATTAAAGTCTATATAAACAACATTGTTATAATGAATTATATTTGGTTGTGTAATTGTAGATTCCTGTGCCTACAGTTCATTGAATCAGTTCTAATGGATGTCATGACGAATTACTTCCTGAACATGTTAAATGAAACAAGAGTTTGCCACTAACGTGGCTATATCCCCCGCCCCTGTTGCAGAATTTATGACATAATTAAATCTAAACAAACCCTAACCTTTTTTAACCGAGGTGGAACTTGTCATGGAAATTGTAAAAAAAAGAAGAGTTTGGAACCTAAGTCCATCTTGTTGCCATGGAAACGTAAAAAATATAATTTTCTAAAATTTCTAAATAGCAAAAGGCACCAGTTCAGCATGTACCTGACAAACCTGCAAAGTTTGATGAAAACATATTGAACGGTTTATGAGTTATGCTCCGGAAACGAACCCTACCCTCACAGAACCTAAGTCTATCTTGTTGCCATGGAAGCGTAAAAAACAAAATTTCTAAAATTTCTTAAGGGCAAAAGGCACTAGTTCAGCATGTACCTGACAGACCTGCAAAGTTTGATGAAAAAATATTGAATGGTTTATGAGTTATGCTCCGGAAACGAAACGTGACGGCCGGACGGACGGAGCCCGTTTCTATATCCCCCGCCAACTCTGTTGGGTGGGGGATAATAAAGCCAATGATCATTTTGATTGTCCTGAACTTTTAAATTGTACATAGCAGTATAGCATGAGTGTTCAGAGTACTGGAATGTCACAATATCAGTCACAAGTGTACATGCCGTATGAGTGAGTGAGTGAGTGAGTGAGTGAGTGAGTGAGTGAGTTTGGTTTAACGCTGCTTTTAACAGTATTCCAGTTATATCACGTCGTGTCAGCTTGATATGGGAGGAAAGCCCGATGTGATGCACATCTCAGACGTTTACCACTGAGACGTGAAACCCACGAGCACGGGTATGGTGCTGACAAACCGAGAAACATAATTGGGGCGAACCGGGATTCGAACCCACAATCATAGGTTTCTGGCGTGCCCAAGGCATGCAACTCTGCACAGCGAACCGCAGCGCCTTAGACGACTCGGCCACCCGTGCCCCCTCATGCCTTATGAACCTAAAATCATCTCTATTGAATCCATGCAAGACTAATGTTTCCCCCACAAGTCATGTTAGACACCCAGTTGTGATTGAAAATGTTGAATAACCAACAACTATTCATCCTAAATAGTGTTATCAATGTCTACTTCACCCTTTGATAGAAAAGTGTATTTCACTGACAACATAAACACATGATAAAGATATTTCAACAAAACTGATAAGATATTATTCAAATGTGGTAGAATAAGATGGAATTCAATGCAATTCTGACTATTTTTCTGTCAGCGACTGACTGACAAAACTTTATTTCATAACATGTCTCAGTGAACGATTTTTGAAAAATATAAATCCCTGCAGATACCTTTAAACATCCTAGTAACATAAACAACACCTGATAAACACTGTAATTAAAAGTTGTTTTTCTCATACTTAAGTGGGGGCGGTCGGGTAGCCTAGTGGTTAAAGCGTTAGCTCGTCACGCCGAAGACCCGGGTTCAAATCCCGACATGGGTACAATGTGTGAAGCCCATTTCTGGTGTGCCCCGCCGTGATATTGCTGGAATATTGCTAAAGGCGGCGTAAAACCAAACTCACTCACTCACTCACTCATACTTAAGTGGTTTAAGAAGTGGGGATCCTTTGGTTACATTAATTTACTTGTTAACTTTTACAGTATTGCTTGTTATGACATTTTCATATTGATAAGGACTTTTAAATTGTTAATTATTTCATGAGATAAGAGATATGACTGTGCTATGTTTAATTGTTAACCTTTACAGTGTTGCTAGTTAGGACATTTTCATATTGATAAAGACTTTTAAATTGTTAATTATTATATTATTATACTAAGATACAATAACTTCTTATATATATCAAATAAATAAAAATTATACACATTTCCAAAACATGTAAAACCTTTATCACAAAAGTGTGACTTGAGATAGTGTAATTATATCTTTAAATCACTGCAGGATACCGACAATAATGTCTCAAAATAAGCCTCAGCCTCGACTCCCTGCTAAGATACTTTTCTTCTTTAGCCATGTAAAACTGTTTGAGACTGTCATACCATTATCATTTCCTACATGCTGTATCAACAAGACATAAGCCCCACTCTATATATTCAAGGTTGTGTCACCTCCATCACAGGGCTTGTGTTGCGTACCTTTTCTCTCAGGGTCACACATTCTAATAGGACACCATATGCTCATCAAAAATGGTGTAAACAAGGTATGTAGTATCGACAAGAATAATTTTCTCGATAATGTTAGGCTTAAATCCCTGTCATGGTGTCCAATATTGTTATTAACCCTTTTCCATTTCAAACTACTCAATAGAAGTCAAAGAACAAGAGTCTGCAACAATAGCCACAAGTCCAAAGCCTGAGTCTAGTAAAATTGTGTTCGGTCTCCTGAGCTCAGAGTGAGTGAGTATGGTTTTACGCCGCTTTAAGCAATATTCCAGCAATATCAAGGCGGGGGACACCAGAAATGGGCTTCACACATTGTACCCATGTCGGGAATTGAACCCGGGTCTTCGGCGTGACGAGCGAACACTTTAACCACTAGGCTACCCGACCGCCCCTTACTGAGCTCAGAAATATTAGTCCATAAATAGCACTAAAATTGACCTAAAATGATGTTGCCAAGTTTGGGCGAGTAGCCTCAACAGTTTCTGGCACAGAGTGTTACACTTGATTGTTTCATATGACTGTAGTTAATGTGTCATGCCTGTTGGGAATTGCAACACACAGCCTTCCAATTGTGGGTGTTCTTTAACATGTTTTGTGTAGTATATATGTGAACACCACTCTGTGTGCGTGCCTGCGTGGGTGCGTGCGTGGGTGCGTGCGTGTATGGACTTATGCCAATTTATAGTGCTAGCCCACTGAGATACCATGCCGCAGTTTACCCTACTCAATCACAGTATACTGACTCAAAGCTGACCTTAATGCTGAGCGCTTGACAGGGTAGCAACAAGTACCACCTTTTAACGGCTTTTAGTATGACGCAGCTGGGGATCGAACCAATAGTGAGTGAGTATGGTTTTACGCTGCTTTTAGCAATATTCCAGCAATATCATGGCGGGGGACACCAGAAATGGACTTCACACATTGTACCCATGTCGAGAATCGAACCCAGGTCTTCAGCGTTGTGAGCAAACGCTTTAACCACTGGGCTACCCGACCGCCCCTCGAACCAATAGACCACGGAGGGGTCTCCAGGTTAGAAATCAATGTCACTGAGTAATGTGTCTCATTACAAACATCATGTGTAACTTGTTAACCAAAATAATGGTCTGACTAAGAGGGGTTCACTGCATACATTTACCTATGTATATCTGATGGAATAGTTTGGACATGGGTCTTCTGTGTGATGTGAGAACCCAAAAGACCTGGGTCTTCTGTTGGATGTGAGAACCCAAGAGACCTAGATCTTCTGTTTGATGTGAGAACCCAAGAGACCTAGATCTTTTGTTTGATGTGAGAACACAAGAGACCCGGGTCTTCTGTGTGATGTGAGAACACAAGAGACCCGGGTCTTCTGTGTGATGTGAGAACCCAAGAGACTTGGGTCTTCTGTGTGATGTGAGAACCCAAGAGACCTGGGTCTTCTGTTTGATGTGGGAACCCAAGAGACCCGGGTCTTCTGTTTGATGTGTGAACCCAAGAGACCTGGGTCTTCTGTTTGATGTGGGAACCCAAGACACCCGGGTCTTCTGTGTGATGTGGGAACCCAAGACACCCGGGTCTTCTGTGTGATATGGGAACCCAAGACACCTGGGTCTTCTGTGTGATGTGGGAAACCATGAGAGGAGGCCTGTGTGATGTGAGCCCAAGATAACAGGGTTGTCTGCATAAAGGAAACTGACAGACTTACCTCCATGTCTCCCCTGTGTGAGACGATAGGCTGGCCGCATGCGCTCTGGTCGACCCACCAGGTATGGAAGATATGTGAAGATACTAGGCAAGTGGATGCTGTCTTGTCCGGGACCAATACCACTTAAGTTTCTCAAGTAATCATTGACGTTGTGTGGAAGACCTCCCATTGCAGACCTGAAGTAAGATTGAAATAATAAACTCAAATTGAAGTGAATGAGAGAGAACTTGCCAATGTGCCAATAAGATTACGTTGACTGGCATATCACGATATAATTTCATCATCACAACCAATGGTAAGCCACATTGATGGGTATTTTTTACACATGGAACAGTTTGACAAGTCACACACAGTTTTGCTATTTGGATTGCAAAAAACAATATGTTGACAAATAGTAGTCAAACTATAAGAAATGTGACTTTTAACAAGTCAAAGTATAACATTCATAATATATGTATCCATTCTCTGTCAAGTACGGTTCCTTTCAAGCTGTCAATAGTGGTAATCTAGGGCTAACGTAAATAACAGTGATTTGATGTGATCTGTCAATCGATTTGTACACAATTTAGCCAAACTAACGTAAACAATATTGAATGAAAATTTGAATAGAATTAATAAAAATTAAAATGGACTACAAACATAAGTAAAGTTGGACAATGAACATTTTGTATTACCAGATAATGAAACAGGATTAACTTGCATAACTAAATGATAACTTGTTGATATGCTATATGACGGCAGTCTGTAAATAATCTGGTCTAGACCAGACAATCCAGTGATTGACATCATGAGCATCGATCCATGCAGATGGTATATGATGACATGCATCAACCAAGTCAGCGAGCCTGACCACCTTTGTTCGCCTCTTACAACAAGCATAGTCAACATTTACTGCAAGCATGGGTTGCTGAAGACCCATTCTACCCTGAGATCTTCATGGATCCAGATGAGATGAAGATGTGTGTCTGTGGGCATGGTGGGGGTAACAATGAAATTATGGGACCCATTGATTACTCCCTTGTGTCTTGAATGGCGTTGTTGCGAGGGAAAACTGTAGTTTCATTTGTAAGTTGACACAGCTATATTTGTATGAAGGTCAAGATTAAGATTATATAGGATCAGTTTAAGTTATGCTGAAATTACTGCCCATTGCAATTATCAATGGCCAATTCAGTAAAATGAATGGCCCATACTTGAATATTTCCTTCCCAATCACTGTCAATCTGCAGGCGAACTGTTTACCAAGTACAATAGTTAGGAAATAGCAAAGTTTTAAGGATTTAAATAGGTTCCCGATGTGAATAGGATTCCACATTCAATCATGTTATTCACGTTCATGGTCACAGGCCGCAAAGTTGCAACTTAAATGGTAGCCAATTTGACCTAAATTTCAGTTTGTCTACTGTCTAAAATTCAGAGGTAGCCAAATGACTACCTATAAAAATATCTTGTGGCGACTAAATTCTATTGCTACACATCTGTAGACACAAAAATAAATAACAGCTGATCTTGGAAAACACCTCTGCTAATAATTGTACTCGCAAATAATTCCTTCTAAAGTCAACAATGAACCAAAATACATAAATATTAATGTATTTAGTAGTTTATTTTAGTTGTCAATGCTCATTGGATATACCTATATAATCTAGTAACATAAGTTGCAACATTGTTCAAGTCACAAATAACAAAATTCAAGTACTGTTTCAACTAATATACAATTTCAAGACTAGTGCTGTAACTTGTACATATTATTATAGTTATTTGATAAAAACAATTTCAAATGTTTTTGCCTACCTACAATATTGGTTTGACTTCTTGATTTTACGCCGGCTACTTGGAAAAAAGTACTCGTAGCCACATGGCTACATGGTAAAAAATTAAACTTTGAGGCCTGGGTCAAGAAAGTGCATAAATATGATGTAAGTTTTATCTTTACCTCTGTATTTTTTTTTAAATAATGACTTGTGATTTTTTTTCAAACACAAATAAACATGATAAATGTGCAAAATATTGATTTACTTGTCCCTTGTCTGATGAAGCCTCTCTACACATAATGCTACTGTGTCAGTCTGTAGTTAAAGTCGCTACAACAACAATAATCTACTGTCCCAGTCCTCATCTATAGGGGGACTAGACTAATGTCAGTATGCCATTACTCTGTTGCTTCGGTTGGTTTGTTAAAACGACAAAATTTATGAGTCCTATTCCTAATGTTTACCATCGTGATGTTGCTGCAATATTGACTTCCCGCTCCCCTCCATATCTCTCACTAACTCTCTCACTCACTCACTCAAGCAAACCCTCTCATATATATTTATTTGCATAATTTAATGTCCCATCCAAGTATAGCTGATTATAATGACAGTCTGTGGAATTATTTCATTTTGGATTTAGATTCAAGTCTAATTGATACAGATTAAGAATTTTGAAGAAAAAAAGGAGTTTGTATTAATTCTTTAGGGGAAAAAGGTTATGTTTTTAGCTGCAGAATGTTGGTAATTTTGCTGCAGAATGTTGGTAATTTTGCTGCAGAATGTGTCTGGGACTGGTATGTGTGTCTGTTTTGTGTGTCTGTATTCTACCGATGTTGGGAAACAAATCTGAATCTTTGGTATGGCAAGTCAATGTTGTAACTGCTACCCCTACTGCCCACATCGTGATCATTATCTGTATCAGGAGTGGTGTTCTTTTTTCATAACTTGTCCCTGGAAACCTGAAGCATGGCTTATGCCTAACTACAAGAGAAAACTCAGTGATTAATTTATCACACATGCTCTCATACATTTTAGCCCAGGCTTTGTGATAATAGACTTAAAAAAGATCACAAAGATGTTTTTCCAAGTCAAGCCAAGAGGAATCTCAATATAGAATTACACACAGTTGGGGAGTGACATCACAGGCAAACAGCACAGCACTTGTATCATAGATCTGGGCAATTGCAAACAAGATGAATTCCGATTCATGTTGAGGCCCTTCCATCATGTCGTAAAAGGCGACTATGCTTGTCGTAAGAGGTAACTAACGGGATTGGGTAGTCAGGCTCGCTGACTTGGTTGATGCATGTCCTTGTATCTCAGTTGTGTGTGCTCTTGATATTAATCACTGGATTGTCTTGTCCAGACTCGATTATTTACAGACTGCCATCATATAGCTGGAATATTGCTGAGTGCGTCATTAAACAACAAACAAACCAAAAATGATGACACTGGCATTAGGGTTGGGACAATACACCAATGTGCAATCTGATTCGTATCATGATACTTGTAAGAGCTCTTATCTGTGGTGTATAAGCCATCTTTTTCATATACAGGATAGTCAAATACCTGGCACCGTGACGATTTATAGCTGGCAGTGTCAAGTACGACGCAACGGATGAAAATACTAATTTTTTCTACTTATTAGTGTTTGGTGTAACAGCCATTCCAGTAAACATTAAAGGTATGAATCAATATTTTGTACTTGGTGTGCGACTGTGATCGATACTTGTATCGGGAAGTAAAATATCACGATCCACCGACCAATCAGTGTATTTTCCCACCACTAACTGCCATAGGACAGTTAGTGTCGTTGGATGTACATTCCACTGACATAGAGATGCAAAGATTTTTCCTAATATTTAAATCATAAATTTAATATTAGGATGAAGCTACTTACTTCAAAATTAAAACTATTTAGTCTGTTTCAATACTCAGGAATGAGAATGGACATTTTCCTTTTTAGCTGAAACGTCTTTGCAATGAAGCATGGTCCATATTATTTGGGGGTGAACAGCATGTGTTTAGGGGCAAGCCATGAGATTTTAACATATTTGTAGTCTATAAAATTTTGGGAAATTTACAGATTCGTGGAAGATTCTCACCCCTGAATACTGAACATGCCAAAGATATTAGATGAAACTGATAAATTATTTACACACCCAACGGCATCAATGTAAAGAATTTATTTTGTTAACTTACATGCAAAATGTAAGTTTATATGCAACTTATACATTATGATTCAACATTGTTAATAAAATATTACTAAATGAAGTTATGGTTATAGTTTTTTTCTAAAACTGTTTTGAATCACCATCTTTTAATGTTGTGAGTATGGTTTTACACCACTTTTAGCAATATCCCAGCAACATCATGGCGGGAGACACCAGAAATGGGCTTCACACATTGTACCCATTGTACCCGGGTTTTCGGAGTGACGAACGAACTAGTCTACTAGTCTACCCGACCGTCCCCTTTAATGTTGTGGAAATAAACAATGTTTACATTCATCTCATCACTTTTTTCTATTCCAAGTGAGCCCAAAATACTGTCAAGGTTGACTATTAAGAACATTACAAATGTACCAAACTTGCAGGCAAATCATTGTTAACATGGTTAATGAATTCTAACATTGTCTCAGAAAAAAAAAATTGTGCTGTAACAAAAAGAACTAAGTTCAACATTCCCTAAATTGACAAACAATATATAGCAGTGAAAGGGGTTGTAGAATTTACTTTCTAATAAGCCCACAAAGAAAGTAAATTCAAATGTTGGCTTCAACATGTTCAGTTTGTTGAGTGTGTGTCAGTTATGAGAGGCATGCACCTGTTTAATATTTACAGGGCCTGTGTGGGAAAGCTTGTGCAGCATGTTTACAGCTTGGCAAGAAGCAGACATTCAAAGCAAGAAGTTGACAGTGGAAAGTTGACACACTGGAAGAGTTTCAGGTCAAGGGGGAACCCAACACCAAACCAACAATGGGGCCCTCCATACTCACAAGCTTATCTTTCAGCTAAGCTTGTGCTGTTTAAAGTGCTATGTGATATTGTGTTTGTGAGACTGTTACGGAAGTGAACAGTACAAGAGTTTGTGACATGACACATGGGGGAGGAAATATAAGGGATACATAGCAAATGCCTTGTTATAATGCTAACGACATGAAAGCCCATGAGCCATGTATTAGAAACTTGCCGAAGTGAACAATACAGGGGGTTGTGATACAACACATATCACATGGGCATAGAGAATATAAGGGATACATAGCAATTGCCTTGTTATAATGCTAACGACATGAAAGCCCATGAGCCATGTATTAGAAACTTGCCGAAGTGACCAATACAGGGGGTTGTGATACAACACATATCACATGGGCATAGAGAATATAAGGGATACATAGCAAATGCCTTGTTATAATGCTGACGACTGAAAGCCCATGAACCATGTATTAGAAACTTGCCGAAGTGAACAATACAGGGGGTTGTGATACAACACATATCACATGGGCATAGAGAATATAAGGGATACATAGCAATTGCCTTGTTATAATGCTAACGACATGAAAGCCCATGAGCCATGTATTAGAAACTTGCCGAAGTGACCAATACAGGGGGTTGTGATACAACACATATCACATGGGCATAGAGAATATAAGGGATACATAGCAAATGCCTTGTTATAATGCTGACGACTGAAAGCCCATGAACCATGTATTAGAAACTTGCCGAAGTGAACAATACAGGAGGTTGTGATACAACACATATCACATGGGCATAGAGAATATAAGGGATACATAGCAAATGCCTTGTTATAATTATGATAATGCTGAGTACATATAGGCCCATGAGCCAATGAATAGAAACTTGATCTTAACAATACAGGGGGTGGTGATACAGCCTGTACTAAGTCGGGTAGGGAATATAGGGGAAACATATCAAATGCTTTCTAAAGATGGGGACTATATTCAACCCCATGGGACCTTGTTACATGATTAATGTAAACAATAAAGGGATACGATTCATACCACACACAGGAGCATGGGATACTAGGTACATATCTCAAATGGCTTGCAATGGCGTTCGCCATATGAAAATTCATGTGCCCTAGACACTTGGCATGAGACACAACAGGGCTGAGCTAGTTTTTAGATTAAACAGTTTGAGGATATATACAAGAATTTATCATATAATGAATAGTGTTATCTATGTGATAAACCAATCTGATAAACATGGTGTAAACATCCAATAAATATGCAAATGTGTTCACCTAGCTATACTTACTTGCTAAAAAACTTTACCATAACATTCCTCATTCAGAATGGTGTTTCTCTATGTGCGGCTTCAACTCATTTTGCACATGGTAATTAATCTGGCATTATATACATATGCTGTTATTTCAGTAAATGAAATTATACTGAAACACTTTGAAAATACATATTCAATTTTTCATAATATTTGGCAAAATGGCCACAAAAATCAAATTAAGTTGTTCTGGGTAATTAGGCATGAGATAATCAAACACAACAATGTCGTCGTACATGTTTGAATCTCATTTGATAAGTTTGGAGATGGTCTTTTCTGAGTTTTAGTTAAAGTTGATTATCTGTCTTCTTGTGTTTCAGCATATGTACTTAACATTGATTATTATCCGACGGTGTATACGTATTGTAAATATCATATTCAAGGGGAAAAAATATACAATTTTTATTCATGATATCTATAACACGTATAATACAAAAACACCAGGACAATAAGTGCTTTATACATTTATCATCTTCGAGCCATGATGGGATGAAACATTAAACAAGACATAAAATTTTGTATACTGGATGCTTACGCTGTCTTCTGTTACCACAGTTACAGTTTGGGATGCTCATTTTCAAATGGCCAAGTTAGTGATTTGTGTTTTATGCAACTTTTAGCAATATTCCAGAAATATCATAGTGGGAATACCAGAAATGGGTTTCCAAATGGTGTTACCATGGGGGAAATTGAATCCTTTCGTTTGGCATGATGAGCAAACACTCCGAACACTTGGTTACCCTTCTACCTCTTATCATTAAAAGGGGGCAAAGGTGGCCCAGTCATCTCAGGCCCCGCGATTCGCGAGAGTTGCATCCATGGGCACGCGAGAAACCTATGATTGTAGGTTTGAATCCCTGTTCGCCCTTATTGTTTCTAGGTTTGTCAGCACCATACCCGTGCTCGTGGGTTTCACCATAGTGGTAAACGTCTGAGAACTGCATCACTTGGGGCTTTCCTCCCACATTAAGCTGACACACCACGATATAACTGGAATACTGTTAAAAGCAGCGTTAAACCCAACTCACTCACTCACTTACTTATCATTATAACCAGTTCCTTAGACTCCCCAAAAGTCACCCTTACTGGTCAGCAGGCACTTTGCTGGATCTTCACACCCTGTGCCTCAATTATATGACACAGGATAGTGAGCTAGTGAGTTATCTTAACGGCACTTCAAATATAGCTCAAAGACACTTTGAATAATTTCGGTAATATAACCAGTTGGTCCTTGCCAAAGCCCTACTGTCAAAAACAAATTAGATTCAAATAGTATAGAAGACAAACTAAAGGAACCCAGGACCACTTTCATGTCTAACACTGATCCAAGGTGCAGGCCTCAAAGTTTAAATTTTTACCAAGTAGCCATATGGCTACAAGCATTTTTATCCAGGTAGCCAGTGGTAAAATCTTAAAAACTTACATCATATTTATACATTTTCTTGACCCAGGCCTCAAAGTTTAAATTTTTACCAAGTAGCCATATGGCTACAAGTACTTTTTTCCAAGTAGCCAGTGGTAAAATCAAGAAGTCAAGCCAATATTGTAGGTAGCCAAAAGCATCTGAAATTATCTTCATCAAATAACTATTATAATATGTACAAGTCATAGCACTAGTCTTGGAATTGTATATTAGTGGAAACTGTTCTTGATTTTGGTTATTTGTAATTTTAACAATGATACAATTTATGTTACTAGATTATTTTGGTATATCCTTGCTTATCAAATGATCATTGTCAACTGAAATAAAATACTAATTACATTAATATTTATGTATTTCTGTTCATTGTTGACTTTAGCAGGACTTATACACAAGTACATTTATTAGCAGACATGTCTTCCACATTTAGCTTTTATCTTTTTTGTGTCTTCAAATGTGAAGCAATAGACTTTAGTTGCCACAAGATATTTTCAAGGTAGTCATTTGGCTACTTCTGAATTTTAGACAGTAGACAAATTGAAATTTAAGTCAAATTGGTGACCGTTTTAGTCGCAACTTTGAGGCCTGCAGGTGTCACCTTAAACTATGAGGTTACCCAAACACAAGCCAAATGCATGAATAGTGCTGACAAACCAAATATCATAATGCATGGGTTTCTAATGTTCTAAGAAGAACAGCAGATCCTGGCATGGCCTGGCATGAGATACAAACCTGCAATGTGAAATACAGTGTCCCTCTACCTGTAACCATGGGAACAAGAGAGGGACTCTATAACAGTTTACTTACCGGTTATTTGTGCCATTGTTGTGGGAGACAGCCTCAAGGAGGTAGTTAAATTGTGTTCTGAGGACGTAAAGGTCATTTTCTCGCTGCCTGTTCAAAGATTCGGCATATTGAAGCCTATCCCTCAGGTCAGCGAAACGCTTTTCTAGCAGCTCTTCATACTGGTTGTGCTCTGGAAAGAAGGAACACATCTTATTATCCATATGGTTGAAAAAAAATCAAGTTTTTGCCCTGTGGGGGTTCTGGCTAAAAGTTACAAGAGGGTTAGAATTGGTCTTCAGCAACCTTAGTCTAAATGCTGGTTGTGGGAACTGGCTTAATGGATCAGGTGGTAAGGTTCCTCTGACTTGGTTCACTGGGTGAGGTGAGGTGAGGTGAGGTGAGGTGAGGTGAGGTGAGGTGAAATTGGGTTTACTGTTGCATCCAAGATTGTGTGTGTGTCTGTGGCTGCTTGTACTAGTCCGGTTGATGCTGATTTATAGGGCTAGCTCACTGAGATACCACGCTGCAGTTTAACATGAATACCCCACTCAGACACAGTATACGGACTCCGAGCCGACCAGTCCTTGTTCTAGCCCTTCATGCCGAATGCCAGACAGGGTACTGGTTACAAGTACCATGCGACCGGAGATCAAACCCCAGACCTTCCGCTCTCCAGGCGGACGCTCTACCACTAGACCGGGGAGGCGGTCGTGTTAATACATGGACATATTTTTTCATTCATTGCTGTTGATGAAATGTTCACTCAGTGTGCACAATCACATGCACACGCGCAGAAATGATTACATTAAGTAAGCTAATGAAATGAGTGATTGAGTGAGTGATTGAGTGAGTGATTGAGTGAGTGAGGGAGGAGGTGAGTGAGTTAGTGAGTGAGTAATTGAGTGAGTGAGTGAGTGAGTGAGGGAGTGAGTGAGTGTCATCCATGTCAACGTCCTAACATTAAAAGGATATAAAAATGTACATGATATAGGTTTCTGAGAATTCAATAGTTTCTTATTTATAGTGCATACTTAAGTATAAAGCCAACCCAATTCTTTTGAGTTTCAGGAAAAAATGGTATTTTGTGTATAGTGCACAGTCAAAAGCTACATCTTACTTACTACTTCAGGTGAACGAAAAGGACATAATAAACTTTGGTCTTGTTAAAGAAAGTGTGAAAATTGCAATAAAAGATCACGAGACATGATGATTTACAATTCCAGTTTTACTTCCTGTTGATCGTTATGTTTTATATGCAGAGATAAAGATTACTATGAGGAGATTAAGATTACTATGTGTACCAGTAATTGTCTCGTAAAACTAAGCAGGAAGTAGCAATCAGCTGTACACACATTTCCTCCCAAATCTACAGGTGATACAGATAAATATACCTAATATTATAACTTTAAAGATTTTTATTGCAATGTCCGGAAGACACTGTTTTGGAAACTACTATTTTACAAGAAATAATATAGTTGCAACTTTTACCATGTATAAACGTGCCCACTCCATATATTTGTTAACATTTACTTGGAAATAGAATGAAATCTAATAAAAAAAAAAAACAAACAAACTTTTACCATATATATATTTAAAATAATAATAACCATAAGTATGACACTTTGGTATACTGCTGGATCTTCTCTATGTAGGGTAGTTTGATGAATCACCATTTGAGTATGCTGAGGCTTTCCGCAGATCGTGAAAACAATATGTTGATATATAATAGTCTAACCACAACAAAAATGATCTTTAATGAGTCAAAGTATGGCATTTATGATAAAAATATGTATCCATTCTCTGGTTCATTCAACTCGGGTTCATTTCATGGCACCAATAGCAGTAATCTGATCATGGCTGCAGAAAACAGTGGGGAGTTGGTGCGATCTGTCGATCAGTTCACATATGATTATGTCAAATTATCATAAACTTTAACAATATTGAATGGAAATCATAATGTCCAGAGATACAATCTGACAATGAACACTTTTCATTTCCAGATAGTGTATCAACAGGATTAACTTGAAATGCTGTGTTACATTTGTTTGTTTGTTGTTTAATGCCGCACCCGGCAATATTCCGGTTATATCACAGCGGTCTGTAAATACTCGAGTCTGAACCAGACAATCCAGTGATTGATATAATGTACATCGATCTATGCAACATCTATGCAATTGAGATACGATGACACGCATCAACCAAGTCAGCGATCCTGTTGGTTGCCTCTTACGACAAGCATAGTCCTCTTTTACGAAAAGCAAGGGTTGATGAAGACCAATTCTACCGTGGATCTTCACAGGTACTGTGTTAAGTGCTCACGTTGATCTTTGTGTTGGAAAAAGAAAGAATCAAAACTCAATTGCATGTGTGTATTGCGCGCACTCCAATCTACACAGCTGTATATTTTTTTTTAAAGTATGCATTACACACAAGGGTATATGGTTATATAGCAGCAAAGCCAAGGATCCTGTCACCCCACCCCAATTTCGAACACTGCAGCTTGCTCAAATTTGCCATGATGCCACTCTCATTACTTAAAGAACATGTTATACACTAAAAGACCCATGACAGTGAATGTTGTGATATTGCAATTATATCACAACAACATGTAAATCATAATGTTTGGAACAGGCAAACCAGTGGTTAATATAACAGGCAACCAATGATGGGTTTATCACACACTCAGGCGTGTTATAGATTAACTCCACCCAATCCTCATTTTTCTTCTCTTACAAGCATGGGCATTATGGGGATTTATTCTACAAATGAATCTCTCCCAGTGGGAGAAATGCAAAGAAATGCCAATTACCTGGAAACTTGTTTCGGAAAAATAATGATCATCCCCAGAGCGAATCTCGCATTACAGCCTTGAATATACTCCATTTATTACATCTCTCAGACACACCATAACTCTTGTCATTTAAGTATCCCATGGTTCTACATGTATCAGCATCATGAGACGATCCCATAATGGAAGCAGGTAATACCATAAACCATCAGGACTATCAACATGCCCAAGCCATGGTTTGGTAGGTAGTTCTTTTCACATCAAAGACAAGACATTACGGAGTCGTAATCACCATTAGTTATAGATCTTATCATTACTGATAAGGTGGGATAGGCTCGGAAAGCCTGAAGATTTCTATTCTTGCTCTGATAAAATACCAAATAAACATTGTGAACACGTTGACAAATTTCTTGTATTTGACATGTATGATGATTAAACTGATCCACGTTAATCACATAACCTAGTTGTACAAATGCAGGGAACCATATCAACAAGAAAATGTTATGAAAATATAATCATGATAGACATGTCAGCAGTATGTACATGTGTGGTAGTTATCGAACTTTGCCCAAGGACCTTTGTTCATGCTAACAACCATTGGTTTGATGTTGCTAACCAACCGCTGGAATGCAGATTCAATGGAAAACAACATCCACTATCGCTGGAAACAAGGGGTAATCCGAGTCTATTTTGTCACAGTATACCCACAGGGAAAATGTAATTAAGGCACTAGAAAATTAATTTCTTTGATCAATAACATAGTCAGCACTGGTTACTGCATCATGTTCAAAACCACAGTCCGCAATTTGTTATTATTGATTAAAAATTGCTGGAATTTAAATTAAATGGAAAACAACATCTGCTACCTCTTGAACAATGGACACAGCAAGTCTGTTCCGCCCAATGATCCCCACTCATAGGGAAACAGTAATTAACGCACAACAAAATCAATTTCTGTGATCAATTACCCAATTAGGCATATAATATGTCGCCAGCCTGTAAATGATAAAGTCTGGACCAAGCAAACCAGTGAACTAAAACATGAACGATGATCCATGTCATCAGCGTAAAAAGCTTGACCACACCTGATCCTAATTACCGTATTTATTCGTGTATAAGAAACACTTTTTTTCACACTTTTTCGACTCCAAACTTAGGGATACTACTCATTTGTAAAATTATTTTGAAATAATTTTTCTCAAAACGTGTTTGCTGTTAATTCTCTCAGCTACGCTGCTGGTCATGAAATGTCATCCAGATCTTTCTACACAAGGTAGTGAGTGAGTGAGTTGGGTTTAACACCGCTTTTAAGATTATTCCAGTTATATCAGGGCGTGTCAGCTTAAAGAGAGAGGAAAGCCCAAAGTGATGCAGGGGCGAACCGGGATTCGAGGCTACAATCATAGGTTTCTGGCGTGCCATGCGAATCGGGGCGCGGCGCTGGGCAACTAAGGCGATTAGAATAAGAATCAATCACTAAACTACTTACCATTTTGTGCAAAAAGTGAGAGCCAAAGCAGAGGAGTGAAACAGAGGACGCTTGTCACAATAAGAACATTCTTCAGCTTTACTCTCATTCGCATAGACTAGCTGCTCACGTCGAGGCTGTTCCCACTGTTATAGTCACTGGCGCGTTAGTAGCTCAAAACTGAAAGAAATATACAAAACATTATCCTTACAGTTACATGTTCTTTCAAACACTCACTTGTCTGGAAACATATGTTTAAACATGTTAAAGTCAGGTTCAAATTAATAATAACAGCAAATAATAATACTAATTTATATTGTGCCCAGTGCATTTCCTAAAGCATGCTCAAAGTGCTACATTATTATCAATGGATCAGTGTACACTCCATGTTCATTCTCAGCTCCCTGGGAATAATTACATTTGTTTAAAATGACCATATGAAGTCAAAGAAGAAGGAAAAGGTAAATTTCAAAAACAATGTCATGCACTCTTTCTCTCAAAAGTCAGCAATGATGTTGTCTTGAGACCAAATATCTCAATCAACACATGATATGGGTTTCTCCATTCACTGCAAAACCTCAAACAAATCAGGTGAGGTGAAATGAGGTTCAACATCACGTCGGAGATTATTGCACTTATATAACGACGTGCATGTGCGTGTGTGTGCCATCTTCTAATGCCTTTTGGTATCACATGGACAGGGATTGAACCCCCAACCTTCTGCTCTCCAGGCAAACGATCTACCACTAGACCACAGAGGCAATATCAACAAAACTGATCACGAATAAAGGGTAACGAATACGAATATTTAGTCACGAATACAATAACAAGTCTGAAGTAGCAGCTGTAGTATTATTGGTATTATTTGTTATATTCAGTGAAACATTAACAACATAAATTATTTGACATGGTTTGTTAATGATTAATATATTATACATTTATATACTGCACTTATCCAGGTACTTGTTTCTGCTCAAAATACTACAATGACCAGTGACCACAATACTGTCAAACTAAATATTATAAGAGTGTTGTCTTTGATGAAATCTATGTATATAATATGTTCTTGTGATATCTTTAGGTACAGGGTATGTAAATGCAGAAGCTTGCATATTCAAAAATATTCTATTCTAGTGGCCACGAAAAACGAATTCAATTCATGAATGGATACGGTTTGATTCACCAAATATGCGAGTGAATCTTACAGCCCTAATTGTAACGCACCTTTATCACTTTCACAACAGTTCATCAACACGCATGAAACAGTAACTAGGTCTCATGTATAAAAACATGTGAATAAATATCTTCCTGTATGTCAGTATTAACATATTATTCAACAACCAACACTTTCATACTGATCAATTATGTCCAACATTGATCTAACTGTGATAACTTTCATAGCATAACCTGCACTAACATTACACTTATGGCATAGCTGTGCGAGTTGCAGGTACCACTGGTAGGGCAGGGCATGCTTACCATTTTCATGAACACCTGGTGTCATCACTAATACTCAGTGATCCATTCACAGAATTCTTACAGGTATTTTGCCTTTTAGTTTTACACCCAATGGAATTGGTTTCAAGACAATTGAGACTGATAATTCTCGGAGTGTTACATTTTATACTATAAAGGAACCAGATTAACAGCCCTGATATAAGATTTATAGTACAGCTAAGGAACAGTAACAGCACTGATCATGCTGATATAAGATTTATAGTACAGCTCAGGAACAGTAACAACACTGATATCAGATTTATAGTACAGCTAAGGAACAGTAACAGCTCTGATATAAGATTTATAGTACAGCTAAGGAACAGTAACAACACTGATATAAGATTTATATTAGAGCTAAGGAACAGTAACAGCACTGATATAAGATTTATTGTGAGTGAGTGAGGTTCTATGATGCTTTTAGCAATATTCCAGCAATATCACATCTGAGGACACCAGAAATGGGCTTATACATTATACCCATGTCAGGAATCGAACCCAGGTCTTCGGCATGACAAGCGAACGCTTTAACCATGAGGTTACCCGACCGCCCCATTAACATTTAAAGCATAACTAAGGAACAGAAGCTGGAGTTACCACATTTACATACCCATACATGTCAACCAAACTACAATCTGCAATCATCCTTGTTTGTCAGAAAGTACACAAGGCAAATCCAGTACTGGTGATCTTGCCATTTGCTCCAATCATGTAACAACAGTGTACCTTGGCTGACCAATGAAGGTAAAGAATATACTCGTACATAGCGTATATTTAAAAAAAATAAGCTTTTTTCACATATGATGCCTAAACATTGCCTGTCAGGTTGGTAAAACATTGCAAGGCTGTGGGGTACTATGAAGCCAGACAATGGAGATATTTGAAGACAAATACCAGCAGCTTGGACATGATTCTCTGTCTCACTGGTAGCCAATGCAGGTCTTTGAGGACCGGTGTTAGGAGGTCACACATTCATTGTGTGTGTGATGAGCCTGGCAGCTGTATTTTGCACACGCTGTAGCCATGCAGGAGACTCTCACATTTGTCTGATCTTGAGGTGACAAATGCATTGACTGAGCCTATGGCCACATATCTACTGATTTGTCTGATAATTCCCATCTGATGGTTTCCGTTTTTGCAGATGTTATTCACGTGGTTTCTCAAACTGAATGTCGAATCAACCATCACACCTAGATTACTTGTATAACAGATAAAAAAGATATACCACCAAAGGAAAATTACTGCCATTGGCAAAATTTTTGGTTAACTAAGATGTGAACTCTCGACACAATGACAGCACAGATATCAAACCGAAACATTTTAACGCTGTATGTCAAATGTCCACGTCAACCATCAGTTTGACAGCTGAAAGGGACTCCTTGTGTGACCGGAGACGCCTCCAGGTTATCTTGACACCAGGCATTATAAGGAAGGCCAGTCATTGCAGCTGACTACCATGACACCATGTATAGGAAGACCAGTCATCCCAGCAGAGTACCATGACATTTACAGCCTGAGACTTCAGCCACTTGTCAAAGCCCCAGTCTAGTAAAATGTCTTTCGGTCTAGCAAGCCTGGTCATGGTGGTAGGCTCAGTCTAAAATGTTGTGACAAAGACAATGAAAGACGTGATTGGGCTTGTGAGCTCACAGACAAAAAGACTTTTTGACTTGTGATACCTTCAGTCTGTGCCAAGACCACTTGAGTCTCAGTGGTCTATCAAGGTCGGCAGGTTATGTCTGGCAAAATTCCCAAATTGGAATTTCCCAATTCATGTTAATATGGCTTATCTAATGTTCTGGCCTTGTAGAAGTAATTTGTCTATAACTGACAACAGGACCAATGAAGACGAAGAGGCATTAATGCTTAGTTTTACATTACTGCACTGAATTCAATGTCAAAATACCTCAGAATTTAGGAAAATAAGAACAAGAAGGGTATTTGAATGAGTGAGTATTGTTTTTTTATGCTTTTAGTAAATGCCAATATTTTCCAGCAATATCACAGCAAGAGACAACAGAAATGGTTTCACACATTGTACACAAGTGATGATTGACACCTGGGCATGATAAGCTCTAACGAACCTCAAGGCTAAACCCACCACAGAAGGGTATGTTGTCATATCAATTGACAATAAAACATTACAAAAGTCATGATGATTCACAAGTCTGCTGTCATTCCATGGCAAGAGTAGTATCATCAGAAACATGCAAACACACAGCTATAATAAAAACAAAAATTCCCAATCTTAGCATCAACAGTGTCATAAAGTAATGAATGAATGCTGTTCAATAATAATAAGAATAGTAAGGCTGTTCGCCTATTGCCGATGGTGTGTATATGTCATGGGGTGTAATTTCATTTGTCTGCCATTCCGCTGCCGGTCCAACAATTCAACAATTATATGCACCCGGTTCATACTTTTTTATGTAACCATGTGCTGTCCGTGAGCTTGTGTTGACAAACTGCCATGACTTGCCTATGATGATGAACTAACTGCCATTAAATTGTCTTGAATGACAACGTGACTTCTTCGTCTTCTTTTCAAACAGTCTTCAGATACAATAGGGCTCTATTCACATTTTTTACAGAATGTTGTGTCCTGGTTCCATCAGGGTCATTAACATGAAAAACATATAAAGGTTTAGCTCTGGGCATTCAGAGGAGAACAATGATGAATTATTTATCTTTTAAAAATATTTTAAATTTTATATGAATGATTCATTTTTAAGACTTTTGCAAACTTCAGTCTACATAAGAATGATAAGCATGTTGATTTGACAAGCATCAGGGCTGCCTTAGCCCATCTGGTGAAACATGGATTATTTGACTATTTATTTCAAGGTGGAAGCATTAATGATCATGATTTACATGAAATTATTTCACATGTGCATTGGGATGCCTCAGGTACAAGAAGAAGAAAGTCAAGTTTTGAATTTCAGCATGAACATGTGGTATGGCAGTGTTGTTATCATACTGATAAGATGCAATGTAATTGCCAACTCCATTTCCTAATTATACATCCTGTAACCAAGAAGATTAAACACTGCAAATCTATACTAGTTGCTTGAGGAGATAACGTTCTTCATGGAACAAGACAAGATGTTAACATCAGACCTTCAAAAAAAACTTCGAACATCATCTCAAATTTCCATGAGTATGTATAAGGTTGTACTCTTCGTTTATCAGTATTCGAGCGATATCATGAACATCTTTGCACACAAAAAATTCAAAAAACATTTGTAGCATGGAGCAGCATTTTCCCTTTGATATTATTCATACAATTCCTGATAGCCTACAAAGGATGGATACCCGTGAAGATTCCGAGGTAGAATAGGTCTTCAGCAACCCATGCTTGCCTTAAAAGGCGACTATGCTTGTCGTAAGAGGCGACTAGCGGGATCGGATGGCCAGGCTCGCTGACTTGGTTGATGCATGTCATCGATCCCAATTGCGTGCATCGATGCTCATGATATCAATCACTGGATTGTCTGGTTCAGACTCGATTATTTACGGACCGCCGTCATATAGCTGGAATATTGCTGAGTGCGGCGTTAAACAACAAACCAACAACAACAACCAACAACAAAGGATGGAGCCTCTAATACCCTGTTTAAGAGGTGGACTTGCCACAAAACATGCACACAGGACAGTCTCCAGGTCTCACTTGTTTTAATTAAAAAAGGTTAATTAGTTTTAAAGTGGAGAGTATTTGATCCAAGCTAAAGTTGAGGTTAACTTAGGTCCAAGTCACATTGGCATTTTATCCCACTAGGTACCCATTTACTGCTGGGTGAAGAGACATGTTTCTCCATTACCTAAGGAGATACCACATGGTAATGTGTGATTGAGTGTGGGACATGACCAAAGCACAAGAAACATTCAGGTGTCAAGCTTGCTAGTCTGTTTGATTAACGCTGCACTCAGCAATATTCCAGCAAAATGATGGTGGTCTGTAAATAATCAAGTCTGGAATCCATATTGTACACACTACTCTGTGCCATTCCTAGTATCGTGTAATGATACATATTGGCAGAATATTGATAATCTCATAAGTTACACAGTAGAAATGAAGGCTAATTCTAACAGTGCTTCAGTCACAGGTATGACCAGCTGATCCTCAATTATTGTTCTTTGTTGTTTAACACCGCACTCAGCAATATTCCAACTATATGATAGTGGTCTGTAAATAATCAAGTCTAATCGAGACAATCCAGTGATTGACATCATGAGCATCGATCTACGCAATTGGGATACGTTGTCATGCATGAATAAAGTCAGTGAGTCTGAGCACCCAATCCTGCCAGTCGCCTCATCTGATAAGCATAGGTTGCTGAAGACCAATTCTAACCGGGATCTTCACAGTTTACATTGTGAATAAACACCAGTTCATAATGCTGCTCATGTATCAAGTCATATTTAAAGGATATATTAATTTCAAACAGAAACATTACAAAGTTTTGCAACTACTGTATCTGACTACTCCATCATAACATATGATACATGAAAGTCATAATTTTGTCTCAATTATCCGTGAAGATTCCGGGTAGAAGAGGTCTTCAGCAACCCATGCTTGCCATAAAAAGCGACTATGCTTGTCGTAAGAGGCTACTAGCGGGATCGGATGGTCAGGCTCGCTGACTTGGTTGATGCATGTTATCGTATCCCATTTGTGTGGATCGATGCTCATGTTGTCAATCACTGGATTGTCTGGTTCAAACTTGATTATTTACAGACATGGCTGGAATATTGCTGAGTGCGGTGGTAAACAACAAACGTAACAAATCTAATATTACAGCTAATGTCAGCCTGCTCAGATCAATAATAGTTCTAGTATGCACTGCTTTTTGTCACTTTAGAAGACTTAAAAGTTTGAGGCAATTATCATGATTATGCTTGGTGAAATTACAGAGGACCAAAGACTCACAAGCCTTAGATTTATACCACCCAGGTGAAACCAACATACATATTATCATGATAATAAGACACTGAGAGGCCACATTCATACTCAAGATAAATAGGTGATTAAAAAACAACAGGTGGTAATCATGGTTGTCAAGAAACATAAAGAAATATAATACAGAATTTATACCTGGACCAAAAGCTTGTACACATCAAATGAAGGCTGTAGTGGAACTGTTATAACATACTTCAAAGCATATAGCCAGTATATACTGAGAACACATAACCTCGGATCTTGTAATAGCCCTCAAATGACCTCTTCCAATAGTCCATCGGTTATATTCATCAATAATAACAAGAAAACTAGACAAGACATTGGACAAAGAATAAAAGCCTCAGGCTTAGGCCATGTTACATCATACTTTGCCTCAGTTGATCACAAAAATAACATGCCGTTTCACCACCAATCAAGAGAGCCAATAGACCATGAAACAGCCTCAAGGATAACTGTTATCCAGATAAAGGGAAGAGTCAGGGAGATAAAGGCCATAAAGGGTTATGCAATATTACACCTTAAGGAATGGCAATTGTTCATTCCCAGGGATACAGAGTTCATGAACAATGTTTTTACATATGCAATACGCACAATATCCAAATATTACATCAAAAACTAACAATCTTGATCTTGATATAATATATACATTACTGGGAATTCTTTACTAGTCCACTCAGGATTTTGATTGGTTCATTTTCTAGGACAGGGATCTATCATATTGATTCAAAAGAATAATGCTATATCGATAAATAGTAAAATTAATTTTTCTGTTTGTACTGTATCAGTGTCCCCGCTTGCTTTTCAAACTGCCAGTCCCCACTAATTTTTGTCAGTCCCCTCTTTCAAAAAATAGAAACACATGAAAAATTCTCTTTTTAAAAAAAATTGACTTTGTTTCGAGACTAAGTTGCTACAAATATATATATAACCTCAAAGCAAAGCAATTATTATTTTTGGTAATTGGTAATTAGCGGTAAATGGTAACTCTGCTATATGTAGATTTTCAGTTGATAAATTTAATGCTAAAATGAATGAGGCTGGTCCAATAAATGCTTAAAATTGAAGTTTCTGCTTTCTTATCGTCCATATTAACTATGGTAATCTTAATATGAACATTTCTGTAGAAGTGAATTATTTATTTCATATCAACATTCTATAAATTCGTACTGATACAATATGGAAACTTAAACTTTACCGTTACATCAATATCTCTAAGTAGGAATACTGAGAGTTCTACATGACGCACAAATGTGTGTCCATGACACATAAATCTATAGAATGGACACAGAAAAGAATAAAATGCATCCAAAAGGGTGCACAATAATATTAATAGTACCCAAACTTGACCAAAAATAGTTCCTGTAGTTAAAGTAATATCAAATCTTAAAGTACAGTAAACTACACCATTTTATTACTTAACAGGACCCTCATGTTTCCTGTAAGAACCCTTGAAATAAATTAATGGGCTCCCCTTGACCCCAAAGGTAAAACCCTGAATACTACACATGATATGATGCATTAAAAACTCAACACCTGAAATAAAAAGAAGCAATTTCCATTATCAAAGGAAATAAAAAGCCCACTAAACATGCTAAAGGATATTTATCATACTTGACCCATGTTACAAAACAGTGATTGAGAATTGTTTGATAGGCATTAGTTAAAAGTTGACGGATGAAAAGTAGACACAATTTATGGATAACAACTTCTTTAATACTGTAAAAAGCAACGTTTCGGTATAGATCCTTATACATCCTCTCTATGTCCTCTGTCCATCTTGATGTGACAGTAATATCCTTCTGTTGTCATTACTTACTCATGTTATTCCACTCATGTGTAGCAATTGTTGTTACTGTTAATCCCCTACTGTTAATCCCCCACGCACTACATGTATATATATTCTGTACAATGTTGCTCATTCAATCTTGCTTGACAACAGTGTAACCGAAACATCGCTTATTACAGTATTAAAGAAGTTGTTATCCATAAATTGTGTCTACTTAGTGATTGAGAACACTTGTACAGAAAAGCATGGGGACCTATACTGGTCATAAATATATATGGCCCCATCAAATGAAGTGCAGGTTAACATGATTTACATAATATTCAGAAGATTCCTCAGTTGTTTCACATAATTGATATGGTATATTTCCGCAGATACAATCCAGGAATGACCATCAATTGACCATCAATTGTTTACATACATCCATTGTAAAGTATGTATTCACAAATCCTACTATCTTAGATATAAATTACACACAAGAAATAATTGTGGGCAAACATTTAGTGTCTCAAGCTCACAACATGGGCACAACATAAATAGTTATCTAACGTCCCCCTCAGGGCAATGATGTGTAATGTGGTAGAGAGAATATTTCTTTCAATGTTCAAGATGCTGACACTGGACACATATATCTCTCATCTGTACATTTTTTTCACAATAACTGCAGCATTCTGGCTTACTGACAACTGAAGAATATGCTAAAACACTGCACTAAAACATGTGTTTACATTATGATAACTCTGCATATATACCATGTTATAAAAAAGTGACATCAAAGGGACAAGTAAAACAATGTATGACAATGTGACTTCAGCCAAGGAGGATATGTCACAGATATTATGTGAGAACCTGTGTTATAAATCCAATATTACCACTTTCCTTATCATAATCCTTTGAGGTAGCAAAGAAACGATTAGCTAACATAAGTATGATATTACACATAGAAAATAAAAATAAAAATAAAGATAAAAATCGATACTAAAGTATTTTAAATAGTTACAAAATGATGGAAATCACATTGCGAAACAGGAATAATGCGACGGTTGCGGCGAGCATGACACAACGTCTCACATTGTTCAGGATAACTTATCAAAAGGCATCCATTTGTCTCCTGGCTCGACTTTTGTCTTTAGGTCAGTCGAAGTGACGACTGAGATTGAGTAGTAATGATCACACCGTACTCACCAAATCACATGAAAAGCCCTTTAATCTGTCGTTGCCGCCTTCTTATTGAACTTTTAATACTGTATATCTCTCGCATCACATGGCTTGTGCATGAGCGAACATTAGGTTATATTTTCATTGGCTCAGAACAATCGGTACATGAACATTGAAACACTTTCGCCCGAATTTTGCCGTCTGCACTCACGGGTTGTTTTCCGACAGATAGGCGGCGCTGATCAGCTGCTTCCGCTTTATATAGGGGAGATAATTCTTTCTTTACTATCGTTCTTCCATTGATCATCACCAGCTGATCACCACACTCTATTTGACGTAACGAGGGCGTCACATTAATACCATATTGTATAGATTTTCTAAAAAAAACCAAACGTTTTCTGTAATCATCGTTGTGGTTCAATATTCAACAATCCATAGTTTTATTTGATCTTTTACGCCGAACTCAGCATTTTTCTAGTAACGTGACGGCGGTCTGTAAGTAATCGAATCTGGACCAGACAATCCAGTGATTGACATCATGAGCATCGATCCACACAATTGAGATGCGATGACAGGCAATCAACCAGCGAACCTGACCACCTGTACCGTTAGTAGCCTCTTACGACAAGCATGAGTTTCCAGGGAGCTACCTATTGTTACCCGGACCCAGATTTACACAGTTAAATATATTTGACTGTATGCTTTACCTACAATATCCAGTCGTCTAAGGCGCTACAATTGTCTGTGCAGAGTTGTGTCCCTTGGGCAGACAGAAACCTGTGACTGTGAGTTCGAATCCCGGTTCGCCCTGATTAATGTTTCTCGGTGCGTCAGCATCATACCCGTGCTCGTGGATGTCACCGAAGTGGTAAACGTCGGAGACCTGCATCACTGCGGGCCTTGCTCCCACATTAAGCAGATACGCCGTGATATTACTGGAATACTGTTCAAAGGGGCCTTTAAACCAAAATCACTCACCTGCAATACTCGACACATCGCTTGGCATAATATATTGTGCATGATTTACAGAGCAAAACCATGCAAGGCTTGTTTGATTTTCTTTATAAGTGCGCATTACATGTTGGTTTAGGGACATACATGCGAAACGTCTACTGTCGGTGTTTTCTTACTTCATATGGATAACGGGGCGGTCGGGTAGCCTAGTGGTTAAAGCGTTCGCTCGTCACGCCGAAAACCCGGGTTCGATTCCCGACATGGGTACAATGTGTGAAGCCAATTTCTGGTGTCCCCCGCCGTGATATTGCTGGAATATATAAAGCGGCGTAAAACCATAATCACTCACTAACCGACAAGAGTTAGGGAGTGAGTTGGGTTTAACGCCGCTTTTAACAGTATTTCAGTCATATCGCAGCATGTCAGCTTACTGTGGGAGGAAAGCCCGAAATGATGCAGGTCTCAGACGTTTACCTCTTCGGTGAAACCCACGAGCATGGGTATGGTGCTGACAAACCTAGAAACATAATAGGCGAACCGGGATTCGAACCCACAATCATTAGTTTCTGGCGTGCCCAAGAGACGCAACTCTGCACAGCGAATCGCGGCGCCGCAGATGACTGGGCCACCCGTGCCCCCGGTAACCGATAAGAACGTCACTCTATGATGGTTCTACTAAATGTATATATACTGAAATATTGCATGGTATGTTGGTTATTGTCCGTCCACAAAGTTAACATGCCGATTTTATCGACAAAAGCCATGATGCCAACACCGTGCATCTATGGTCTCAGTATTTGTGTGTCTAGTAAGAGGCGACTCACGGGATCGGGTGGTCAGGCTCGATTCCCTGGTTAATGGATGTTTTCTTATCCCAATGGCGTAGATCAATGCTCAGAATGTCGATCACTGGATTGTCTGGTCCAGACTCGGATATCTAAAGACCGCCGTGAGATAGCTGGCAAGTTGCTGAGTCCGGCATTAAAGGGACACTTATCTCTGGCTTCTTCTCGGCTGTCGAACATTGCCCGCTAGGACTCACTAGCTGCTGTGGGTCGATTTCCTCGCTAACGCAACTGAGCGTAACAAGAGACTGGGCTACCGTTTTGTAAGGACAGCCAAATAAACTTGGAGGCAATATTTGTTTTACGCATCTTGAACACTGATTTGTTACCCATGATCTATGAAGATCAATCCGACTTGCACTGAAGATACTTACGATCCTATTCTAAATATGCCCTCTGCATTCTTCACATGGATGTAATGACAGCCACTATTGGGGAGCCGTTATGACATTTGGTACGCAATAAGTATGTGTTGTGTTGAATAACATATGATAATGTTTGGGGCATATGTGGACTTTTGAACCTGTCGTGGCATTTGACTTTCGAGTACAACCACGCTTCTGTATCAGGACATTTACTGTGATATACGAATGTGACTTACATGTATCAGAATGTATGAAATGTTATGAATATGATCTCAGCAAAGTCATGTTCTTCTTCGTCTTCAGTTTGAGGGGGTGAGAGGTTTTTTTCCATCTTTCCTTCCTTTTTATGGCACATTTCAAATTCAACCTTTTGATTGAATGTTAAAATATTCCCACTGTTCACAAAAACATAAAAACTGTACAGATATAGGAGATTTTAAAACAGAACCGTAAAAAATTGTAGTGTAATAAAGCATTTTGTTATATAATAAAATTCTAAACGTAAGATCCGTCGACTAAAGGAGATGTTAATTGACATTTATGGAAAGCCCTACGGATAAATGGTAGATTCAGCGTTCAGCGTACCCCCTATAATCATACGTAGGGCGGGGCGGTCGGGTAGCCCAGTGGTTAAAGCGTTGGCTCGTCACGCCGAAGACCCGGGTTCGATTCCCGACATGGGTACAATGTGTGAAGCCCATTTCTGTAGTCCCCCGCCGTGATATTGCTGGAATGTTGCTAAAAGCGGTGTAAAACCATACTCACTCACCCATACGTAGGGCATATCTTCAAGAGATAGCATCCATGTCGATCCTTCACAAACAGAATCAGTCTCACAGATCCCACTCCCTAAAAATGTCCATTATATGCGTCATTTCTTAGGTTTATCCCGTATCATCGCAAATGTCCAGCAAACTATTCTGGCACCGCCTCTCCTTTACACAACCTTCGGAAAAAAAGACGCGTCTTTCGAATGGTCCAACAATTGCCAACAGGCGATCGAAAAGCTAAAGCAAGCCCTGTATATCCCGACCAAAACTAACCCTTCATCCTCACAATTGATGCATCTCAAACTGTACATTTTAAGCCAACTTGATTCTAAGGACATACCTTGTAATGACGTTGTTAATTCTTGTTACAAGTATCTACCTTTACATTGAAGTACGCAATAATAGTCAAATGTTGGGAGTACAGAATGAATGTTACAAATAGAGGTCATTATTTACATTTGAATAATGAACAGAAAATAATAAATAAAAAAAATACTAATGAACAACCCGCAAACAAAAGACGTCACATGTAAAGAAAGGACAATGGAAACTAAAGAACGTCAGTGCACAATAAGGACACTAAATTGCCAACGTTGACAATAAAGAACGCCAGATGGCGCTGCAATTTGTATTTTTTTTCTCGAATTTAATCGGCTTGTTCCGTCGTGTATATGATAAATACATGCCAAAGTGCTCAATGTGTTACGTCATTCCTCGTGCACTCAGCGTGTGACGTCATATTGCGGGGAATTTTTAAGTTGTCTGATATCACACGCAGTAAGATTACTGGAAAAGACTTCTGAAAATTAGGTTCATCGTATATATCGCTACTTTTTACATTTTACTAAATCACCTTTCACGGCGTTATTTCGTGTTTGTTTTGAAATTTAAATATGTGATATTTACTCGGAAAATTCAATAACAAAAAAGCACATTAGTGATCAAGGGTATCTGTGTTTTTTCTTCGAATCATTAAGTAAAGAAAAGTAAGTAGTAAGTATCCTAGAATCGTTTAGGATGTTTCAGAAAATACGCAAACAAGAACGCCGAAATGAACTTTCCGCCATATTGGATCGTGTTCACAAAATCACGTTTTGTGTATGCCAGTTTAGATGACGCCAATTGGATGGCATATATACTGACCCGCAAAAGAAACGTCCCTCCAAGTAACATTGCATGAAAAGTTGTCATTTAAATATCTGGGTATTTTTTGTCAAAGTTTCTAAAATTTAACATTACCTTGTCCGGAAAAATAAAATTAGATGATAAAAAAACAAAGCAGATGACAATAAAACCGATCGCCCAAACGAGTTCTGTGCAAATTGAAATGCACATGCGTTCCCCCATTTCTTGCCCTATAAAAAAGTCCACCCAGATCGGATAACATTCATTCGTTATTGAATTGCTACCACATGCCAAGATTGTCAAGACATCAGCGACACCATGCCCTTGGACGACTGCAAGCTGGACAAACCGCCTGGCAAGTAGCCAATGTATATCAAGTCCACGTGAGGACCATATACAGGCTCCAGCAACGGTACCAGACCACCAACACTACAGATGACCGACCACGTAGTGGAAGACCAAGGGTCACCACCCGACGTCAGGATCGTCAGGATCCTCAGGATCGTCAGATTGTACGACAGCATCTTCAAGATCACTTTGTTACTGCTGCGGAAACTGCTCGACAGACCATGGGGACACACCATGGGGACACACCAGCGACACATTAGTGCGAACACCGTACGTCGACGATTGACGAGCAGACACCATCACTGTCACAGGCCACACCGAGGACCCATTCTGACACGTCATTGCCGGGACCGTCTTCAGTGGGCAACAAAGCACCAGCATTGGCGCCACCAGCAGTGGAGAAGAGTCCTCTTCTCAGACGAGAGCCGTTACTGTATCTCAACAGCAGATGGCAGAGAGAGAGAGAGTCTGGCGACTCCGTAGGGAACGTTATTTGGATGCTTGTGTTGTTGAGAGAGACTCATGGGGTGGTCCGATAATCATGGTGTTAGGTGGAATTGGTCTTGCACAGGGAGTCGGCCCTGTGGTCTTCCAGAACATCGGTCCACGGAGAGGCAATGGTGTCACAGCAGTTCGGTACATCGATCAAATCTTGAGCTCACACGCCATGCCTCATTTGGCACATTTCAGCATGATAACGCCCGTGCCCACACTGCGAGAGCAACAAGAGACTTCCTCCAGCAGAATGGCATCAGAACCATGCAGTGGTCTGTTGTTGTTGTTGCATTAGGTGTTTAAGAGGTCGCCTTCTGCCTAGGCA